AGAGGAAGGAGAAAAGAAACTGCGGGCATGTTCCAAAGTAGCTCTCTTCATATACAGAGTTGGTACTACAACAGAGGGCCGCACACAGTGAGGGTGGGCTCCTTTCAGAAACGACAGAAACGGCAAAGTGAGAGAGACTTCCACGGAGAGTTCGGCCACACCAGGTTTCTCTCCTCCTGCCGTCCACAAAGCTGCCAGGCACCAGGCTCCAGGGCACGCGGTCGGAGACCAGACCACAACTGCACGTGGATTTGTCCCCCTTACACAGCGTCTCACTATGTAGCCCAGGCTGACCTCCAACGTGTAGCGATCCTCCTGCCTCAGCCTCCTGAGTGCTGGGGTGACAGGTCCCCAGGTGGCAGCTACCACGCCCCATGGTCTCTTCTTCACTGGGAATCCTTGTTGTCCGGAACGATGCCTGGCTCAGATGTACACGCCCGGTAGCACAATCTAGTCTACTCACATTTCTGTACATGGAAGTTTGAGATCTACAACGGTGAACAAAAGAAAGGTTTTCTGCACATCTAACCTATTTCTGCAGTGAATGACGAGTTCTCAGCGGCTCCCCCAGACCCCCAGTGAATGGATGTGCTTGGGTTATAAGGATTAAATGAGAAGCCAGGTGTGACTGTGCACGTCTGTCATCCCAGCACTCTGTGAGGCTGAGACAGGAGGGTCTCAAAGCCCAGGCCAGGCAACTTAGTGAGACCCTGTCTCAAAAAAAAAAAAAAAAAAAAAAATCAAAATCAGCCGCAGATTTCGCACAGTGTGGAGGCCCCGCTTTCCATTCCAAGTATCAGAAGAAAAAAACCCAAAACACAAAAACCTTGCAGAGCCCCTCAAAAGGCACGAAGGATAAAGGCCGGCTCCTCCACCCCCCACAACCCTAAAACCTCCAAGGCACCCACAGACGGGCAAATACCAACCGGGCCCTGGCCTGGGGTCTCCCCAGCCCACACCAGAGCCCGTCTCGGGCGCCACCCGGTGGCCAAGTGAGGCAGCGACGGGCCGACGCGTCTGTGGGACTCCATTTACGCCCCCCTCCCCTACGGGGCTACATCCCCTCCCTTTTTGTTTTTACTTTGAGACAGTGGCTCCTGAAGTCACTAAATTGCCCAGGCTGGGCTGAAACCTGGCACCTTCCTGCCTCAGCCTCCCAAAGTCCTGGAAATGCAGGTGTGTGCTGCCGTACCAGGATTTTTTAAATTGAAGGGCCTTTTTAAGAAGCCCTTAGCCTTTGAAATGATTAGACTAAGAATAACTGCAGTTTGAGACCAGTCTCGCCGAAGGCTTGGGCTTCCTGCTAGGTGAGATTTGACCTGGAGCTGCTGTGAAACGTGGTGCAATCTTTTTAGGACAGCGTCTCACTAAATTGCCCAGGCTGGCCTCAAATTTAAGATCCTCCTGCCTCAGCCTTCCTTGTGCTGGGACGACAGGCGTGCAGCACCTGGCCTGGCAGAGCGACATCGCTGTGAGCACCAAATTTAGCCAATGGTGATGTTGAAAATGATATTCTCAGGGGCCAGGAATTTAGCTCAGCGGTTCAGTGGCCTGCCTCACAAGTGCAAGGACCCGAGTTCAATCCCTGGTACTGAAAGAAAAAAAAAATGATATTCTGATCTTGCTTTCTTCCCACGCTGTCACAGCTGATCATTTCTTCCCTGGCCCCTCAGAGGCCCTACATTTGATAGCCGCCCCCCCAGCATGAGAACCTCAACCCTGTCCTGCAGTGCACATCCATGAAGATGTACTGTGTCAAGCACAATTCCAGACTTCTTGATGTGCTTTAATCTTCACAGATTCCTATGGTAAATATTACTGTTACTCTTTTTTTTTTTTTTTTTTTTTTTTTTTTGGTTCCGGGGATTGAACTCGGGTCCTTGCGCTTGCAAGGCAGGCCACTGAACTGCTGAGCTAAATCCCCAGGCCCTGTTACTCTTCTTTTTAAGGAGACAGGGTCTTGCTATGTAGTCCAGTCTGGCTCTGCACTCATGATGATCCTCCCGCCTCAGCCTCCTAAGTGCTGGGCTGTCAGGTGTGCCCACAACACCAGCCTGCTAAGTCTCCTAGTTACAGAAGCTGAAGTCTGCCCCCTCCACCCACGCTGCTGCCGCCCCAGGAGCCCTTTCAGGGCTGGGGTGCAGCACTGGTGGACGCGTGTGCAGCACCGCACACACAAGCCATCCACGTAGTGTGTGGGCCCTGTCAAAGGCCGATCAGGAAAGGGCTCACCAGAAGCTGGTGTGTGGCGCGTGGTGACATGTCGACTCACAAAGGGCAAAGTGCACGGGCACACATGCAGGAAAGTGCTGTGTGGCAGTGCAGGCAGCGACCAGGGTCAGTTTTCTGGGTTTTTGCTTTCTGAGACAGGGTCTTGCCACGGAGCCCAGGCTAGGCTTGAACCCAAAGTGATCCTCCTGCCTCAGCCTCCTGAGCGCTGGGATCACAGGTGCGTGCGGGTGATGTTTCTGCAAGCCAAGGGCACTGGGGTCACCAGTCCCCTGAGGCTCTGGAGAGCTGGCCTGGGTCTTCTGGTCCCAGCACCTATCAGAGGGCTGCTGGGGGCAGTGAGCTTCTACACCCCAGCAAACCGAGTGTTTGCGTTTAATCTGTTCATTGTTTGCATCACCAGGGACTGAACCCGGGTCTTTGCACTGAGCTACAGCCAGATCTGTTTTTGAGACAGTGTCTAAGTTGTCCAGGCTGGGCTCACACTTGGATCCTCCTGCCTCAGCCTCCTGGATGGGGAAATGACAGGTGTGTGCCATTGCACCAGAGCTAGTGATTGCGATTCTGTGGTAGGGAGGTGGGTTTCACCCTGTAGGGCATCCAGTGGTCTGGTTGGCACCCGGGCAGTGGTGCCACATAGGGAGGGCGACCGGCCCTAGCACGGGACATGGCAGCCCAACTGGGCCTGTGGCGGCACCATCAGAGGCTGCCATGTGCCTCACAGACACTGCTCCGTAAGCTGTCACCAGACGCCTCAGTGCCCAGTGTGGCAGCTCCAGGGGATTTATTGGAGGCCACCGAGAAGAGGCAGGAGCTGGGCCACGGCCGCCTGCCAGAGGCGGGGATTCTGTGGCCTGTCCGCAGAGGGGCCCCTTCCCACTCCCAGGCACCAGGACACAGGCAGCGCGCAGCCCCCCGTGTGTACCGTTTTGCTGAGACCCCGGGAGGAGGAAGCCAAAGGGGCCCACACAGGCACGCGCCCTTGCCGCCCGGCTCCGTGAGGCTGGCTCGCTGGCACACACGCACACTACACATGCGGGTGCGAACTGTAAACGTTTATTAATGGAAAATGGAATGCCTCATTAACAGAAACCTTGTAGAAACGGCAGAACAAGAACACTTTATTACAAAAACAGTGGGTTCACGCCACGCAGGCGCGCCCTAGTAGCGGCGGGTGAAGTGCGGGTAGGGGTGCAGGTGCGGGGCCCTGCCGCCGCGGTCCTGGCCGGT